CGGACACATGGAGAAATGGGTTGGTCTGGCGGACCATACATCAGAGAGGCGGGAAGATGCTTTCGTTGTCTGGGTCCGGCCTGACTCTTTGTTCGGGAGAACGAAATCCAAAACGTATGCAGTACGCGATCCATCTTCCCTTTGCGGCCCACCTTCCCCTCACCTATTTCCGTAAAGAACGGGGTAACCAGCCCATGTGGTGATCTTAGCAGAATAACGCCTCGAGGGGCGTACGCAACGTGCCATAACAGACCAAGCCCCCCCCGGCCGGGTGATAAAAGTACGGGGCGGTCTGACCTAGGAATGCACTCTGAACAACGCTGTGACGTTGAAAACTAACAGCAATATCACCGACAGCGCTCTGCAAAAGGCAACACCGTTCGCGAGCAGCCAAGCACTTTGAGATGCTTGCCATATTTTTCTCAGTTTTCATGACTTGACTGCGTTTTGATATAGCACTCCTGCTGGCTTGCTATTTGTCGCAATGCATTCTGCCTCCAGTTTGAGATTTGTTGCTGTGTACCCTGTTCGTTTTCTACTGTCTTTTACCATTTTCGTTTGGTCTGGACATGTACTGTGTTGGATGTACTCACAGCATCAACAGATTATTGCGAGCAAGAATTTCCCGAGCAGATGGAGCGGGGAGTTTGGGGGTTCAATGGTTGCTATGGATTAGATTTGGTGGTACCAACTTTATCACATATTGCAGGTTTGAGGGTATGGGTGTCTACAACGGAATTTGTGTGCGTGGCTTGTGGTTCCTCACTTCCTTTTTCTGTGTATAATCAAGTCCTTTTTCCGGCTCTCACGCCAACCCCGGCTTCCACGCCCATACTCCGGCTATCACGCCAACCCGGCTTCCACGCCTTCAGGACTCCCACGTCCCTACATATACCTTTACATCAGGGCCACCACGCCACCCGGCTTCCACGCCACAACTATATTATACACGAGCTTCCACGCTCCACCACGTAGAAGGGCTTTCACGCCCGCGGATAGTTTCTACATTTTGACCGTTGGCAGGTACCCAGCTGCTGGCACCTTTTGTTTCCCACTACGGGACCCCGCGCCGAGGCACCCACGCACAAAGCTACTCAACACGCTAGCGTTTCGATCAAGAGAGTGGCCGCTGTGTCTACGCGCGCAAGATGCCGGATGGAGACGGACGACGGCCTCCGGGGGGACAAGGTCATGGTGATCCTTCCCCGGGAGAAGGCACCGGCGATGGAGGAACCAACTATTCGTTCACCGCCGATGCAGAAGAAAGACAATCTGGGAGGGAGAGCGGCGGCGGGGGGAGATCAGCAAGACTCGATGCGTCAGCTGGTCGACCTTCTCAAGCATGCTTTCACGGCAAACTCCCAGGACCAGGGGCATCGTGCCCATTCAGGCACGTCTAGCGCCCAGACAGTAGAGTTGAAACAGCGGGACAAAGTCGAGGTCCCTGTTTGGAGTGATGATTTCCTCAAAAATCGATCGATGGAGGTTGCGTTGCGGATTTTCACGAGTGCGTTTGAAGCGTGGATGGAGAACGAGGGAGTGGTTGACGCAATGAGAGGCCCAGAGATTCCTGTAGCTGCAGCTCAAGTGAATGTGGATTGGATGAAACGTTCGTTTGGTGAGGAGAGAGTAAAGCAGTCTAGGAAGGTATGGATTTTCATGCTGTCGAAGATCACGGCACAATCTATTCAAGGGCAATTGCTCGCAGCGGAGAGTCCGCAAGCAGGGTACAAAATTTTCTTGGACTACTACCGACGCAGTAAAAACGAGGAAAAGGCAGACGTTTGATGATCAGTGGAATGTGCTGTGTCAGAGGAATGGAGAAAGTTTGATGGACTACTTCGGTAGAGCTAAGGCGCTTTGGATGAGACTGGTGTCATACGGTGATAATCGTGCTGAAGTGTCCATGTGCAAGCACATCGCTCGGGGTTTTTTGCCAGAATTTGAGAAAATTAAAGAGCGTGTCCTTTTTCACCCCATGTTGTCGAGTGCACAAATGCAGGAGGCGTTGAGGACGGCTGAGCACGAGCAGAGGTACGAGCGGAGGTCTGGAGAGAGAGGAGAGGAGACGAGGCACGCCCTCGTCGCTGCCGGCATGGGCCGGGGCGGCGGGCAGAGGAGACCAGCCATTGTCGGCATGGGTCACGGCGGACCGCAGCAGCAGCAGCAGCAGCAGCCACAGGCGTCGATGCAGCCACCGCAGCAGCAGCAGCGGCAGCAGCAGCAGCAGCAGCAGCAGCAGCTGGGACCGTACATCTGCCAGTACCACGGGCCCAACAGCTCGCACGCGACCGCTGACTGTCACAAGTTGCGCAGCGAGTTCCTGGCGAATTACAACGAGATCAGCGCGTACTTGAGCGGCAGGAGGGACGCCGAGGCGGCCGCTCATCAACGAGGCGGATCGCAGAACCTGGGGCGGGTTGGTGGTCCATCAGTACAGCAGTCGTACCAATTCCAACACGGTGCGGGCTGGAGTCAGGGCCACCCTCCTGCGCCTCAGGGGCCGCCGCGTGGGCCAGGACCCGGAGCTGGGGGGCAGATGCAGGGGCGCAACGATGGGGGACGGGGCTACGGCGGCTACGGGCCTCGCCCCTACGAAAGCCGTGGGCAAGGCGGCGGCCGCGGGGGCAATTTCCCGCCGGCCAACGTACCTGCAGGGCAGCTTGCCAGCGTCCCGCGGCCCTTTTTTCCGGCTCACCAGGCCATCGGGGGCGGAGATTCGTTCGGTGGCGAAAGCAGCTCGGGATGGCAGCAAACGTCGGCGCCGGCACCCACGCCAAGCTGGGCCCCATCACCTTCCGAGGCGGGATACGGGTATGGGCTCGCGGCTCACGGGGGGAACCACAGCGGCGGTTCCTACGGCAACGCCGGCGGGGGATTTGGCTTCGGCTATTTTTCCGAAGACGGCGGGCCGCACCAGCAGCAGGAGGCCAACGTAACATACTGCCCTTCTGCTGCAGGTCCTGACGCGTATCAGCCGAGAGTCTACAACGAGGCCTTCTACGTCTCGGAGCAGCCGGCGCCCTTCCCGCAGCAGCAGGCGAGTTTTGAGCAGCAGCAGCAGCAGCAGTACCACGGCGTGCCTCAGGCGGCCTCTTCCTCCTCCTCTCCCTCTCCAGATCCAGGCGACGTTCTACCTCCTGCTGGCGACGCCCCTCTTCGTCTCTTCATGGCAGGAAGTGTGTGCCCTCGAGGCAAGTTTGATTCTTTTCTTGAGTCTGCGTTTGGTTTTAAGGCGTCTGACGTTTTCGTACCTGCTGTACCCGGTGTTGACCCTGAAATGCTTGCGAGTCACGATAGGAATCACTGTTTTTCTGAGCAAGATTTGCACAGGGTTGCTTCTCCGAGTCTGTCTGCGATGTTCGAGAATTATGAGAAGGAGACCGATTTTCATGAGACTGATGCGATTGTGCCCGCTGTGCCTGACGTGGTTGTGAGTACTGAGTCTGATGGGATAATGCATGCTGTCCATGATGTGAGGGTGCCTTCTATGCCTGCTGTGATCGCGACTGCTGAGCCTGATAAGATTGTGCCTGCTGCCTCTGATGTATCTGGAATGCTAATTGTAGCTCGTGTCACCAAGCGTCCCACAGTAGACAAAGCTTTTCTATGCCAACCGTACATGCCGAATCCGAAGGGTAGCGAGCAGTGGCAGGCCGATTCTGGAGCGAGCGCGATGATTTCGAACCAGATAGATCACATGTACGACATTCGCCACTTGGGCCAGGATGAACAATTTATTCAAATTGGAGACTCGGCTCTCATCAAGGTTGCAGCTGTAGGAAGCTTAGACCTTCGGTTCCACCAAATCGGAGCCGACGGGA